GCGAAGGACGCTCGAAACGCTACAACCCAGGGCTGAACCTAAACGGTGTTTTTCGTTTTCGTTTTGTTTTCGTTTTCCCTCGCTTTTGTCTCGAATCCGCCTCTACCGCAAACCGAAGTCGAAACGAAAATGTCCCACGAAATCACCACAAACATCGTTCAGGTCCAGCCCTGCTCCAAGCTTTATCCCCCTCCTTCCTCGGGCCTCGGGTCTTCATTGCCCCCTCCTGACGCTGACGCTGCGGGCGGGTCCAGGTCGAACCCACGGCGCCCTCGCTCGTCACCTCCACTGTGGCCAACACCGAGGGGAGGGTCGGAAAAAGTTCTCACCAGTGCGGAGGATGAGGGTCAGCGGGACACAACGACGACGAGGGACGAGGCACGCCAGAAACCCCTCCCCCGCTTTTTCTGCATCCTTCTCTCCTCCGCCTCCACCTCCTCCTCCTCCCCCTCCTCCTCCTCCATTCCTGTTCCTAGTGTATAACTTCTCGCTGTCGCAACCCGAGGCCAATAGAAAGTGCGGGCCGGGAGTTTCGCCCGAGACTTCTTTACGATTTATGAGCCTAAAACTGAAAACAACTGACAGCAATTTCACACATGGGGCGGCGCGATTCCAAAATGTGGCTCTCGCCGAAATGCCGCGCACATTCGTTTCAAAGATTTGCTAGAGCTTCACGGATTGAGGACAAGTCGTTTTCAAAATGTGGCTCTCGCCTCATCGCCACGCACACTCGTTCTAAACATTTGGAAGAGTTTAACGGGTTGAGGGTTGAGGGCGGTTCTATATCAACACGTGGCTCTCGCCTTAACGCCGCGCACATTCGTTCAACACTTTGCAAGAGTTCCAAAGGTTCTCATGGTTAATGTACCACACATGGCGTTTGGAACGACTCAGGAAAGTCAAAGTGCAACAATTACGTTGAATCGCGGTGTTGAAGCCCCAGGAGTTGTGTTCCGGCACGATTCACGACCGTCAAGACGCAACAGTCAGGTTGACTCGTGGCGTTGAAATCCTGAGAATGGTGTTCTGGCACGCTTCAGGATTCTTACTCCTCTCCTTCTCTTCCTCCTCCTCCTCGCCATCCCCTCCCTGTTCCTTCCCTCCTCTTTCTACTCCGTCCTCCTTCTACTCCATCTTCCTCCTCCTCCTCCTCCTCCTGCCTGCCCCTCCTCCCCCTCCTCTTCCTCCTCCTCGTCCTCCTCCTCTTCCTCCCCCTCCCCCCTCCCCCTCCTCCTCCTCCTCCTCCTTCTCCTCCTTCTCCTCCTCTTCCTCCTCCTTCTTCTCCTCCTCCTCCTCCTGGAGGAGGGAGCCTCTGCGCCGCGACGAGCGCGCCGGCGAGCACGGCGGCGAAGGAGGCGATCACGCCGCCTGCGAGCCATACTCGGGATCCACCAAAAAGGGGTGGGGTGACCCTCAGGGGGGGGCACGAGTTCGATCCGTTGGTGCACCGAACTGTCGCAAATAGACGAGCACGATCCACTACTCGCAGAGTAGCTACTCGCAAATGGCCTGGATCTGCCGCGGGGGATCTATGAGAAATTACATCGAAGCAGAGTATGTGTTTTTCGGACGTTTGCGGGTAGGCACTTTGCGAGTAGTGGAACGCGCTCGGTGAGCAAACAGATGTCCCCCGCATGTCCCACTTTTATATCGGCAACTATCGGGAGCTGCTGGCGGCCGGAGGGGCACCTGTTTTGGGCGGTCCGGTGCCAAAAGCCGATCGAACTCACCTCCCCCCAGGCCCCCCCCCCCTTTGCGGGATCCCGACATATCGCGAGCGGCGAACGCATCCATATCTGATGAAGACAACCCTACATTAAGACGAAGCCAGGGCGAGGACAAATTCGGGTGAGGATGAATCGGGAATCTCTGAGACCCAGCGGCTCTGGAGGATGTCTCGGGCGCCGCGGCCTGCTTTCTGAGAGCGTTCCGGAACGCTCCGAGAGCGTTCCTGAATGCCCTGGAACGGATTTATCCTCGTTCTAGCCCCGCCCGATGCATGCCTCCAAGAGGCCTCAGATCCGCCCCAATGCGGCTCCAAGTGACCTAGAGTTCCCAAAAGTCCCCCAAGATGCCCCCCAACAGGGACCAAGAGGCTCCTCCCAAGAGGGCCCACGAAGGGCTCCAGAGCATCAGCGTCGTCGACGTCGTCGTCGACGTCGCCGCCGCCGCCGTCGTCGTCGTCGTCCTCGTCGTCGTCGTCGTCGTCGCCGTCGTCGTCGTCGTCGTCGTCGTCGTCGTCGTCATCGTCGTCCCCCTTCAGGGTCGGCGGCACCGGCCGTACGGCCTTCGCAATCCTGGAGGCCTCGCGTGGCACCTTGAGGCCCAGTTTACGTCGGATCCACGTCGGGCGCACATCGGTTCCACATCCTGGCCATCGCTCGGACGCCCACTCCTTGTGTTTTTTTCGGTTTCGTGCGTGGTGTTTTCGCAGGATTATCCAGGATGCTTCTTAATAACCCTCGCCGAGAAAACTTGAGACCCAATTTACGTCGGATCCACGTCGGGTGCACGTCGGTTCCACGTCGCATTCAGGTCGGACTCACGTCGAATTCACGCCGGACTCACGTCGGAACATCGCCACACGACCGTCGTCCCATATCCGACAGGGCGGACGTGCGAACTGCACGGTGCAAAATTGTTGCGCGCCACGCGAGGCCTCCGGGCTAGATGTCCACGCCCCCGCGCTGTGTGGGTTCCGGGGCACGCTCCCGTGGCAGCCGCGAGACACCGCCCGGGGTACACGGGGGCCCCGGCCCAGTCGGGCCGGGCGAAAAGGGGGGGGGATAGCAAAGGGGGGGTTTGAGAATCAGCTCACGTAACTGATTTTCCTGGCGCCTCCCGGCGCCGGGAGGCGCCCATGTATCGAGGAATGGGCCCCGCGGCGGGGCCGAGACCAGCTGCATGCAGCAGATTTCGTACCCCCCCCTTTCCCTATCCCCCCCTTTCGTTCGGCCCTACCCAGGGGCCCAGCTTGCGAGGCCGTGGATACGCATATGTTTCCCAGCCACGTCATTGTATACACGCGTTCGCCAATGAGGCTTCGCCTGAAGGGATCTCCGTTCTGTGAAGAAAGCGCTGGCTTCGACGTGTGAATCTGAGAGGCAACCCTCAGGGTTCCTCGGGGTTCCCCGTTGCCTGGTGGGCGGGCGTTCCTCGGGGTTGCCCCGTTGTCCTGGTTGGCCCGGTTGCGCAGTGCCAAGCCATACCAATCAATGCAAAGTAACGCCAAGCAACGCCACGCAGTGCAGAGCAATGTGCAACAACACCAAGCAATGCAAAACAACACCAAGCTTCGCCAAACATGTCTAGCTATATGCTTCAGAAACGATTCCAATATTACGGTGGCGTTCCCCTCCCCCTGTTGGGTTTTTGAATAAAGTACTGCTCGCGAAACCTCCCGCACACTCTCTCCCCCCCTCCTCCTGCCTCCAGCATCATTGTCTCCCTTGCTCGTACCTTTCCTACTGGGGAGCCGCGTACTGCGCAACTATCGCCGCTATCGTGGGCTCCAAGGAGGCACGGTGGAGCGCAGGGCAGCGGTGATCCCTTTGAGACCTCGCGGCTCACTCGGGGGCTGCGAACTGGCGCACCCTTCGCCACTCTCGTGGGCTCCTGGGAGGCACGGCGCAGGGCAGCGGTGCCCTTGAGACCTCGCGGCTCCTCGGGGGCTGCGAACTGGCGCACCCTTCGCCACTCTCGTGGGCTCCTGGGAGGCACGGCGAGGGTGCAGGGCAGCGGGGACACCTTGGAGACCTCGCGGCTCCCTCGGGGGCTGCGACCTGGTGCAATTGTCGCCACTCTCGTGGGCTTCTGGGAGGCACGGCGGAGGTGAGGGCAACGGGACAAAGCCTCGCGGCTCCCTCGGGGGCTGCGAACTGGCGCAACCGTCGCCACTCTCGTGGGCTCCTGGGAGGCACGGCGGAGGTGCAGGGCAGCTGGGATACCTTGGAGACCTCGCTCCCTCGGGGGCTGCGACCTGCGCAACCGTCGCCACTTTCGTGGGCTGCTGGTTGGGGGGCACGGCTGAGTCCAGGGGCGCGAAGATCGTGCATGTCTGGCGATCTGCTCCTTTGTGTGGAGCGCTCATACAAAGAATCGCCTCGCATGGAGAGTGGGCTGGGTCCGTCTCGGGTAATGGTTGAACTCTCGTTTCTAGAGGCGACGTCTGGTGGCCCCGCCATCTGGTAACATGCGTTCTGTTCCCAACTCTGCTGTGTTGGGCCCCCGCTTTGAGTAGGAGCGCTGTGGTCTCCCTCCTTCTCCCCCAGGGCTGAACGTAAACGGTGTTTTTCGTTTTCGTTTTGTTTTCGTTCTCCCTCGCTTTTGTATCGAATCCGCCTTTACCGCAAAACGAAGTCGAAACGAAAACGGCCCACGAAATCGCCAAAACACCGTTTAGGTCCAGCCCTGTTCCCCCCCTGTCCCTCCTCCCCCCTCTTCCTGCCTCCTGCCTCTTCCTCCCTACCTCCCCTGCCCCTCCCTTCTCCTCCTGCCTCCCGCCTCCTCCTGCCCTCTCCCCCTGCCTGCGGGCGGGGCCGTCGCCACTTCCCCGTGGGCTCCCGGGAGGCACGGCGGAGTGCGGGGCAGCGCAGATCACTTTGAGCACTCGCGGCGCCCTCGGGGGCTGCGAACCGCGCAACTCCCGCCGCTTTCTCGTAGGATCCCGGGAGGCACGGCGGAGTGCGGGGCAGCGCAGATCACTTTCAGACCTCGCGGCGCCCTCGGGGGCTGCGAAAGCGCGACCGTCGCCGCTGTCGTAGGCTCCCGGGAGGCGCGGCGGAGTGCGGGGCAGCGCAGATCACTTCGAAACCTCGCGGCGCCCTCGGGGGCTGCGAACCGCGCGCGCAACCGTCGCCGCTGTCGTAGGCTCCTGGGAGGCACAGCGGGGCACAGGCACCGTTTTGAGCCGCAATGCTGTGAATAGACTCGGGAGCTGCAGGGTACTCTGTGGAGTGCCAAGTCTGCTATGACACGTGTCGCCAGAGAGAGGAACAAATCAGCGCAATGGGAAGGGATGGGTGGTAGGAATGGGATGTCAGATCTGGCGCGACCGCACCTAGCTTGGCTCTCCCTCTCTTGCTGTCCCTCTCTCCCTCTCTCTATATATGTGTATATCGGAGGTTGGGGGTTGAGATCGAAGTGGAACGGAGAGCCCCCCACCGGGAAATCGGTTTCGGTTTCGTGTTCGTGCGTACCGTGCGTGCGGGCAAGGCGAAGCTGCGTGGGCGGGCGAGAGGACAATCTCCTGTGGCTGAGGCGCGGCTGGACCAAATGATTCCCCCCCGGCAAACGGGGCCGCGCGGTGTCCCGCCGGTGTCCCGCCGGTGTCCCGCTGGTGTCCCGGTAAGTCTCCTGTGGCTGAGGCGCGGCCGAACCAAATGTTTCCCGACCGGCAAACGGGGCCGCGCGGTGTCCCGCCGGTGTCCCGCTGTTGTCCGGGTGTCCCGCTGGTGCGAAAACGATAGTGAGACCGATTGTGAAATCGATTGTGAGATCGATTGTGAAATCGATAGTGAGATCGATAGTGAGATCGATCGAGTGAGACCGAGGGTGAGATCGATTGTGGGATCGATAGTGAGAGCGATAGTGGGATCTACGGTGAGATCGATTGAGTAAGATTGATAGCGAGATCGATCGATAGAGATATCGATAGTGAGATCGATAGTGAGATCGATGGAGTTACATCGACAGTGAGATCGATGGAGTGATATCGATAGTGAGATCGATAGTGGGATCGAAAACGAGATCGAGAGTGAGATCGACAGTGAAATCGATCGAGTGAGACCGATAGTGAGACCGATCGAGTGAGATCGATAGTAAGCTCGATAGTGAGATCGATCGTGGGATCGATAGTGAGACCGATAGTGAGATGCAAATCGAAATGCAGATCGAAATGCAGATCGACATGCACAGCGATAAGCAAATGCAAATGCAAGTCGTCAGGCACATCGGCATCCCGTGCTGTATGCTGTGCCAAGAACGAGCGGCAACGCATCAATCTCTGAACACCAAGGCACCCAGTACGAACGTTGGCGGAACAGGCTCTCAAGGGTCGCTCCAAGAAGCTCCCGGGAGGCCCCAAGAGGCCCCCAAGAAGCCCCAAAAGGCTCTCAAGAGGCCCCCAAGAGGCCCAAAGGGGTCCAAAAGACGAGCCCAAATGGCCCCCCAAGCCCTTGCAAAATGAACGAAATCATTTATTATTTCGTTGGTTCCTTGGGGGGGGGAAAAGGTACCAAGGCGCCCACGAGCGAAGGGTGACGTAAACAACTCGAGACCAAGGCTCCCAAGAGCGCGAGCGGCAACGCAACACTCTCCACTGGCATCGTCAGAACAACAATCAGCACTGTTGCCCATTGCTGGCCCCTCCCCCCCCAACCTCCTTACCACCCGCAGGGTGGTCGTATAGGGGTATATATTTACACATCTCTCTCTCTCTCCTCCCCCTCGCTCTTCCTCCTCCTCATTTCTCGTCCTCACCCTGCCCCTCCGCCTTCCAGCCCGCAATGCACTTCCGAGAACTTTCGGCGCGCGCGCCTGCGTGGGGTGGGGTGGGGTGGCACGACGAGGCCACGACGGGGACGCGTCTTGGAAACTGGGTTGGGTCGGGCGTGTCCTTCTACAGGCGGATTTTGGATGACAAATAAGAGAGAGAGGATGATCCACCGCCGCTTTAACTACTGTGGAAAATCCTCCCCCTCTTCCTTCGGAACCCGGGGGGTCCCCCCCCCCTCCGAAAATCTGGCCCCCCCCGGAACCTTCCCCCCCCTTCTTCCCCCCCGCCCCCCCCCCCTCCCCCCTCGGGAAAACCTGGAAAAGTCACTACCAGTTCGAACCCCCCCCCTCCTCTCCAGAGAACCGAGGGGGGTCACTACCGGTTCGAACCCCCGCCCCCCTCGAAAACTGGGGGATGTCACCACCGGTTCGAAACCCCCTCCCCCCACTCCCAGCCCCCCCTCCAGAAAACCGGAGGGGGTCACTACTGGTTCGAACCCCCCCCCCTCGAAAACCGGAGGGGGTCACTACCGGTTCGAGCCCTCACCGCCAGCAAACGACACCCGGGTCCCCACCACCGTCCGCACCACTTCCCCCACTCCTGTCCCCAGCACCACTGTCCCCAGCACCACTGTCCCCACTGTTCCCACCACCGTCCCCACTGTCCCCACCAGTGCCCCCACCACTGTCGCACTGTCCCCACTGTCCCCACCACTGTTCCCACCACGGTCCCGCTCTCCCCACTTTCCCCACGGTCCCAACCGCTGTCCCACTGTCCCCGCTTTCCCCACTGTCCCACTGTCCCCGCCGCTGTCCCACTGTTCCCACCGCTGTCCCCACTATACTTCTGTCCCATTGTCCCACCACCGTCCTCGCCACCGCCCGCACCACTGTCCCCACCACCACTGTCCCCACCTCTGTCCCACTGTCCCCACCACATTCCCACTATCCCCCCACACCACTGTCCCCACCACCACCGTCCACACCACTGTCCTACAGTCCCCACCCACCACTGTCCCACTGTCCCCGCTGTTCCCACCATTGTCCCCGCTGTCCCCACCAGTGCCTCCACTTGTGTCTCACTTTCCCCACTCTCCTCACAAATTGTCCCACCACGGTTCCACTCTCCCCCACTTTCCACACGGTCCCCACCACTGTCCCACTGTCCCACTGTCCCCACTGTCCCCGCCGCTGTCCAATTGTGCTGTCCCACTGTCCCCACTGTCCCCACCTCTGTCCCGCTGTCCCCACCTGTCCCCACTGTACTACTGTCCCACCACCGTCCTCACCACCGCCTTCACCACTGTCCCCACCACTACCGTCCCCACCAATGTCCCACTGTCCCCTCTCCACAGTCCCCACCACCACTGTCCCCACCACTGCCCGCACCACTGTCCCACTGTCCCCGCACCACTGTCCCCACCACCACCGTTCCCACCACTGTCCCAGTATCCCCACCACTGTCCAACTGACCCGAGGAGCGGGAATCGTTTGCCGGCGGCGAGGGTGGGAGATGGGGGGATTCGAACCTGTAGTGACCCCCCCCTCGGTTTCGAGGGGCGGGGGGGGGGTTCGAACCGGTAGTGACCCCCCCCTTTTCATGATGGACTGGGGGGGGAGAGGGGTTCGAACCGGTAACGATCCCCCCCTGGTTTTCGAGGGAGGGGACGGGACGAATTGGGAACCCCCAGTGACCTCCCCCGGTTTTCCGCCAGCAGCGGAAAACACGCTCTTTCAAAAATAAGAATCAGAAAAAGGAGCAGAACATATTCAAAAATACTCAAAAATCGTCCCCAGACTGTTTTTGACTATTTTTGAATACTCCGCCTGTAGAGGGACAAGCCCGACTTAGAACCTGGGGACTGTGGCGAGGTTCTGAGGCCGCCTGTGAATACGGTGGAGAGCTTCACCACAGTGCGCTCCTCCAGGCCGAAGGTGACCGCCATCATCAGCAGCGCCGCCGCCACCGTGGTCCCCTCCACCTCGGCAGGTCTGCGCTGGATCGGATCGCGACATCGGATCGGACCCAGAGCGGATCGAATCGCCAACGAATCGCCAGCGAATCGGATCGGTATCGAATCGCCGCGCCCCGCTTCCGGCTGGCCCTGGCCGGTGCCGGTGAATAGAGCCGGATCGTATCGAATCGGAATCGCGGCCCCAGCCGGCGAATCGAATTGCATCGAATCGGATCATAGGCGGCCCTGCCTCGGTTGACCGGATTCTCAATCGCACTTCCAGGAGTCGCTTCGGAGACCGTCGGCGATCCCACTTGCAAGCGATGTAGAGCTACTTCGGGGGGGGGGCAGGGCGGCTTCGCCAAACAATATCCCGCGCTGGTCGAAACTGGTGCCCAATGTTCCCTTGGCCCGGTTTGAGCTGTATCCACCCGGCATGCTGAGCACCTGCAACGCGAGCAATGCCAAGCAACTCCATCTCAAAAAACGCAACATAATCACATTGATAACCATACCGGAATCCTTTTTGTTTCCCTCTCACTCACCCCTGCCTGGCCGAGCCGTCGCGGGTGTGACTCGCCATTCCAAACTGCAAAGCATACCGGAATCAATACGGCCTCATACGGAACCGCGCGTGCACCATGCGCAGACCACCGGGGACCGGCCGTGAGCATCGGGCGCGCGAGCCGGCCACGGCGCGTGGCCCTCCCCGCCGCGCGCGCCTGCCCCGTTGCAACCAAGCTGCTGTCGCGAGCCAGATGCAGCGGTCCGCAGTGGCCCTCCGCGCCTGGGATGGCCACCCACTGGCCGTCGCTCGGACGTCCACTTCCCGTGCATTGCTCGTTTTTTTTGCTCGATGGTCCAGGATGGTCCTCGATGGTTCTCGCCGAGAAGAAAATGCACACGTCGCCCGACCCATCTCCATCACACTCAGCGCCCTTGGCACTTCAACACGAAAACAGGCACCATGCATACGATTCGTGAGTCGTCTGGGGTGGCTTCCAGACGGTGAACACACAACGCCACTATTACTTGAGCTCTGATCTGAACACGTTCGCAACGCCGTGCGTAGTATCAAGTGCCACGCGTGTCCTGCGACCTGAAAACGCAACATGTTAATGTACGTGTTCGGGTCTCCTTCATGTTGCTGACTGCTAACATCTGCAATGGTGGAGAGAACGGTGCACATTTCTTTGATGTTCGACGCAATTCTGGTACCCGATCCCAGGCCTCCGATGTCGTGATCCTCCCGGCTCAGAGGGGTATCGGGCCCCCATTGGTAATGAATGGGAGCTTGGGGGCCGATACATCCCCCTCTGGGCCTATCCACCCCTACTCCGTATGGCACAAAAATCGGGGGGGGGGGGCGACTAACCTTCCGACGGAGCGTCTCCACCATCCCCCACCGCCCCTCAACGTGCGTCCAAAATTCTCCCCCCCCCCCCACGTGGCACAGGAAGTCGAGCTTCAAAACTGCGGCCGTCCCCCCCCCCTCGAACCCAAGGGGGGCAGCGATTAGCATGCCATCCAAAGCAACATTGCCCCTGCACTCCGAGACTGCCCCTCCGCCGCCCCCGTGCGGAGCTTTCGGCCGACCCACGCCCGCCGAGGCCCCGATGGGCTGCGCGAGGAGGACGCCCGCCTTGGAGATCTGCGCGGCGAGGACGGACCCGGCGCAGACCAGGAAGCTCAGGGTCGTGAGGCACAGGAGACCTCTGCTCTGTTCTGCTCTGGCGATACGTATGGACGATGGGCCGATGTTCCACCACCCCTACCAAAGGTGGGAGAGGGAGGAGGAGGATGAGGAGGAAGAAGAGGAGGGTCTCCCCATCCTCCCTTCTCCTCCGTCCTACCTCCTATGGCAGCGGTGGTGGAACATTGTCCCATCAGCGAAGGCCCCACCGAAGGGATCACCACCGAAAAGTCACAGGCTCCCCTCTGCGTCTCGGAAGGCACATCCGGCGGTTCGCCGGCGTAGCAGCCCCAGCCGCGCAACTCATGCTCGGACCACAAGACGGGTCGACAAGCAAGAGCGGACCCTGGCCGTCGCTCGGACGTCCATTTCCCGTGCATTTTTCGGTTTCGTGCGTGCTTTTTTTCTCGATGGCCCAGGATGGTCATCGATGCTTCTCGCCGAGAAGAAATGCGCACATCGGAGCGATACCAAGGGACCAGGCAGGGAGCATGGAAGAGCGGGAGAGCGAGGAGGAACCGAGGAGCAGGAGGCCTCCGGGGGTCCCGTACAGCCTCGGCGGCCGATGTGTACAAAGACCTCGACGACGATGGAGAATCGAGGGCCGAAAGACTTGAGCTGGAACCGACCATCCCGGCATTCCAGCCCAGTGCCACGAAGTGTTCTGATACTAAAAGCATGTCCAGCACACACAGACCGTGCTCACATCTCATAGAAAGCCGATGCGCCACAACGCCACGGATTCGGCAAGACATGTTCTAAGGCCAGGCCGTGTACAGCGCAAGAGATGTTGGCAACCGTTTTTTGGTTGGCCAAAAGTAGAGGCCTCCTAGATGGGGTCCGAGTAGATGGGGTCGAAGAATCGCACCGCATCGCCAATGCATCGGCGATGCATCGGCAATGCATCGGCGATGCATCGGCGACGTCGGCGTGGGGAAACACAGTCTCCACATCGAGCCGCATCGCCAATGCATCGCCGATGCATCGCCGATGCATCGGCGATGCGGTGCGAGCCTCCGACCCCATCTACTCCGACCCCATCTGGGAGGCCTAGAAAAAGGCAAGTCAAGACGCTGCGCCACTGCTTCAGGGGCCGTGGCTCCCAACTTCTGCACGCCTCTGGCCCCTTTCCGGGCCTCCCACGTGGGCGTCCCCGTGGCCACGGCTCGCCCCACGTCGAAAGCACGCCTGGTCGGACCTCGCCCCCGGAGAGGAGACCGGGCATGGGCTCGGGAGGAGGGGCCCATGGGACACACAGGGACACAGCAGTGCCATCTGTTCTCCTTGGAGGCGTGCGTCCGACCCGAACACCTCGTATAACCATCTTGTAGAATATATCGCTGCCCGAGCGGTATGGCCAGAAAGCGCCCGCCACGTGGCTTACAGTATGAGATTTCTCGGCGCGCGCGTCGTCCCTGGGGTGCGACGCACACGTAGCATTGGTACGTCGGTGTGGCGCCGAGCCCAGACCCACGCGCATGGCGGAAAACACAATTGAGCGACGATCAGAAACGGATCTTACGCGAGATGACACATCGACCTTACGCGGCGGCTTACGCGGGCCACCAGCGCGACACGCCAGACTGGAGACAAGGGCGCTTACGCGCGACCATACGCGGGCAGCTTACGCGCCAATGTCGGCGCAGACGCGACCTTCTTTTTTGCGCCGCTCAATTGTTGTTTGTGTTTTTTGTATGGTGCCGACTTCGGACTTCGATGCAGGCCCTCACCGGTCCTCCGGGGCAATCCAGAAACGGCTGGGCAGTCTATGGGGAACAGGTCAGCACCTCCAAGGGGGCACGTCTGGGTCCAGGGGGACAACAACAACGACGAGGCCTCATTACTCGATAGGCCCATCCCGGTGTCCGCCTCACCCAAATCATTGGGTACCGATTTTTTTCGGTCGCGATCGATAACGACCGATCGGCACTCCAAATCGGTCGCGACTGATCGCGAGCGCTCTCAGAATCGGTCGCGACCGATTTTGAAGCGAATCGGTCGCGACCGATACCGCAATTTGACGCACAATCGGTAGCAATTTGACGCCCAATGATCAGGGCACGCAAGCTTTATCCTGTGCAAACGGGGACTTTTGGTGCGCGTTTTGCCGATCGTTGCCCGCGGTGCGGCAAAGGCGCTCTGCGCTCTGCATGCTTGGGCTTGGCCCTCCCCGCGCTCGCCGAACACTTCGCAGAAAAGGTCGCTCCCGCAAAAATGGGCACGGGGCCGGCTTAACCAACCTGCGAGGCTGGACAGGATACACCATTCCGCAAGGTTGACAACAATTAAACTGATGTCGCGACGACCTTGGCGTTGGTTGCTGACGCCTCCTTCCGGAAACAAGCCCCTCTGGATCCCCCGACAGTCCCAAAAACGCCCAAGCACGTCCCAGACCTCCTCGATCCTATACCCTCCCTCCTCCTCGATCCCCGATTTCCACGAGGAGTTGGTGACCTGGCCGAGAAGGGTCAGATCTCGATGGGACGGGTCCGATTTTAACAGTCTGGGTCATATTCCAATGGGTAACGTAAGAAAACTGGAACGGTTCATACCCCAACGAACCTGATTTGAACTTCCATCCGCTTTCCTAGATGCCTCCTAGAAGGTGTCTCCTCGACTTCGCGAGCGATTCTGGATGATTCCTCCCTGGTCTCCTGGAGGATTCCTTTTATATGTTTTGAGGATTGCTGAAACTGTTCTGGGGATTTTAAAAATTTTTAATGGATTTTTGAAATATTGCTTAGAGCTTTAAAGATTTTTGAAGATTCCCGGGGACTCCAACAAATTCCGGAAGATTTCAAAGGATCCTCAAGGTTCCTGATCCTGAAGATTCCTGAGAACTCCGGAAAATTCCTATGGATTCGAGGATTTTTGATAAATCCGGGAGATCGTTTCAATACTCCTGACATGGGTTCCTTCGGATTCCTGAACAGGTTTCCTCCGGATTCCTGATGCACTCTACGGGTTCTAGGGATTCCCGAGGATTCCTGTAGGAATCTGGAAGGGCTCATATGTCTTAACGGATTCCTGAATGCTTCCTAAGAGTTCCTCGGGATTCTTTCGGATCCCCTGAGGGTCCTGCACATTCCTAGGGTTCCTGCGGATTCCTCCGAAGCTTCCTGGTCCTGAGGACTCCTACAAAGAATTCCTGGAGGATTCCTGGGGGATTCCCGCAAGATTACTGAAAATTAATGAAATTTCCTGTGGATTCTATTCCTCAAGATCCCTGAGGCTCCCGTAAGATTCCCCCCAAAAAACTCCTAAGGATTTCATGTGCATGAAGATTCCAAAAGAAGATTTCTGATGAATGCCAAATGAATTCCTAAAGATGAAATAGAAATCCTCAGGATCCAGAAAAATGTCTGAAGATCCCGGAGGATTCCGTGAGGACCCTGAGAGAATTTGCAAACACATTCCCACCATTTTCAACTCTCAGTTAACCACTCCTGAACATTCCAGGGGATTCCTGACGGTTTCCTGAGGATTCCTGACGAATTCCTGGAGGATTTCTGAAACGATCCAGAACTCTCAGAAACAGATTCTTAAGGATTCCTGTGGGGTCCAGAAGATCCCTGAAGACAATTGGAACAATTCCTGGGGTTCCAAGCAATATTGATGGATTCCGGAGAACTCACGAAGATTTCCAAGCAATCCTCCTGTGGATTCCTCTGGATTTTTGACGGGTCCCCCACAGATTCCTGAAGAATCCCTGCGACATTCCGAAGGATTCCTGGCAGATTTCTGAGATTCGTAATGACGCCTGGGGATTCCAAAGCATTTGTGAAGACTCCTGAGGGATTCCTCCGGATTCCGACAGATTTCTCACAGAATTCACATGAATTTCTGCGGGTTCCTAAGGAGGTTCTGCAAGTTTCATGGGTTCCTCAAGGGTTCTTGCAGATTCCAGGAGAGATCCAGAACAGATTTCTGAAAGAGCCCTGCGGATTCCTAAGGATGCCTCCAGATTCCTGAAGGATTCCCCAGGACTAGTGAACTATATTCTGAAGGATTCCTGGCTGGTTCAGGGGGGATTCCTGAAGGCTGAGGAATCCTGGGGTTCCGAACGATTCCTGAAAGAGTCCTGGGGATTACGTCATGGGGGCCTTGGAAATCTGAAGGCAGTCTTCGAGTGTCTTGAGCCGATATGCGGCCGCTCAGAACTCCCATATCATAGGGCAGTGGAGCGCTAGAGATCCCAACGGCGCAAGATGAACACCGAACGAGCTTCCTTAATGTATGTATTCGGTTCTCATTGCCAAGATGATCATGCAACATCAACTCGAACATACTGGATTTTCTGCCCCGTTGGGATCTGGCCACGCCGATTTGGATCTGACCCGTCCCGTTGAGATCTGACCCCGTCGCACCCCTCCTGGTGACCCCCCCCTGGCATTGCCTGAGATAGGAACAGGACACGTCCATACATATAAACTGTCAGCAATGCGCGAGGTTTTCCCGTGGTCGGCGCTGGGCCCCCCTCCGTGGCGCGCGGAGCACGCCTGGGGCCTCGCCGAGGCGCCGCCAAAGCGGCCCCCAGGTCGACCCTAGAAATCCGCGCGGACCGTCGAACGTTTGGTCATTCAATGTGCTCATCTTCGGTGAGAGAAGGCGGAGGAGGAGGAGGAGGAAGAAGAGGAGGAGGAGGAGAAGGAGGAAGAGGAGGGGGAGGAGGAGGAGGAAGAAAGAAGAAGGAAGGGGGGGATGAGGAGGCGGAGGAGGAGGAGGAGGAGGAGGAGGAGGAGGAGGAGGAGGAGGAGGAGGAGGAGGGGGGACGGAGGAGGAGGATGAGGCCGAAGAAACGGAGGAAACGGAGGAGGAAACGCAGGAAGAGGAGGATGAGGAGGAGGAGGAGCAGGGGGAGGAGGAGGAGGAGGGAGGAGGAGGAGGAGGAGGAGGAGGAGGAGGAGGAGGAGGAGGAGGAGGATGGGGTGGGGATGAGGATGATGATGATGATGATGATGATGATGAGGAGGAGGGGAGGAGGAGGAGAGAGGAGGAGGAGGAGAGGAGGACGACGAGGAGGAGGAGGAGGAGGAGGAGGAGGAGGAGAAGGAGGAGGAGGAGGAGGAGGAGGAGGATGGGGTGGGGGATGAGGAGGATGATGAGGAGGCGGAGGAGGAGGGGAGGAGGAGGAGGAGGGAGGAGGAAGAGGAGGGGGAGAATGAGGAGGAGGAGGAGGAGGAGGAGGAGGAGGAGGAGGAGGAGGAGGAGAGAGAGGAGAAGGAAGAAGAGGAGGAGGAGGGGAGGAGGAGGGGAGGAGGAGGAAGAGAGGAGAGGAGGAGGAGGAGGAGGAGGAGGAGGAAAGGAGGAAAGGAGGAGGAGGAGGAGGACGATGAGGAGGAGGCGGAGGATGAGGAGGAGGAAGGTCGAGGCTCGAAGGCCCGTGGGTCGGGGCCCTTGGAGCCTTTCAAAGGCCAAGGCCCTCCCGCGGCGCCTTCGTGCGGCCACACGGCTGGGCGCGCCCGGACGGGGCTGCCCGAGATGGTGTCCAGGAGGGGCCCGGACTTCAATTTCAGGGCTGGACCTAAACGCGGTGTTTCGTTTTGTTCTCGTTTTGCTTGTCGTTTTGCTCCACCCGTTTTCCTGTACCTCCCTGCCAAAACGAAAAACAAAACACAGTCGAAATCCAGCAAACCAGCGTTTAGGTCCAGCCATGTTCTATTTTGCTCGAGGTCCGCTGCACGTCTGCAGACGCGCAGCATCGCCGAAAATACGCTACTCTGGGTTTCTTAGGAAGCGTGGGGGGTACCCCCCCCGACGGGGGTCAACCTCGCCTCGTCGACGCGCTGCGACGGGGATCGGAGCGCCTTCGGCGCGCGGTGGCTGCCTGCGACGGGGGTCGATGTGGGACTGTCGGCGGGTGTGACGCCCCCCCTGACGCTTATTAAGAAACTCGGAACGGCAATGCTAAACGGCACATGTGTGATACCAACGTTCGATTGCTCAAGCAATTATTGAACACGGCTTTGTGGTATATGGTAAGTTTGGGCCAACACGGGTGGCCAGATCCATGTTGCGCGAGGCTCACGCCGCGACGACGTGGGCGTTGTTTTCTTGCGACTGGAGGATCGTCCGATCTGGAACGAGCCCCACCTGCTGGCATCGAAGATCGTTCAATACCCGCCAAATTCAAGCACCTGGCAAAATTCAGCCGGAAAGCGCCCGCGCAGGCGTCGCCGCAGCGCAGACGCGGAGTGATCCTAGCGTACCTCCAAAATGTCGCGACACAGCCCACGACAGGCGACTTGACTGGAGGAGCAAACAAACACCTAAACATAAAATGTCAGAGCTCCGCGCGGATTTCTGGGATCGCTCTGGACGCCCCGCCCTGGCGCGCGGAGCCAGAGCCGCCGCCATGGGGGCCCAGAGCCGATGCAGGAGATCCGCGCGGCGCTTCGAACACACACTCTCGCGCCCTTTTTTGGCCCCTCGAGATTCTATGTCTCTGCCACTTGTTGGTACTTCTACTGCGCCCAGGGGGGAAGCCGCCACAGAGCGCAAAGGTGGCGACCCTCGAGCTCCACCTGCCGAGCCCTCTGCGCGGCGCATGCGCCGCCCTGGCGGCCGCGGCGGCCGCCGCCGCGGACGCGACGGCGGCCGCCGCGCCGCTGAGATGGGTCAGAGGATCGCGCCGCATCCTCGATGCACCACCGATGCATCGGCGACGACGGCGTGGGAGAAAATCGGGCTCCACGTCGAGCCGCATCGTCGATGCATCGGCGATGCGGCGCGCTCATCCGACCACGTCTATGAAGGGGCCCTGGGACACACAAATAAATACACACAAATAACAGGACTCCCCATATTATCGCATTTTTTTTTTTTTTTTTTTTTTTTTTTTTTTTTTTTTTTTTTTTTTTTTTTTTTTTTATTATTTTTGCCTTCTCCCCCACTTCCCATATTTTCTGGGGAATCGACGATTCATTGTGTCTGTGTGTTTTTTCCCCTCCTGAGTCCAGTCCGACCACATCTGGGAGGCCTGCCACTTTCCGGGCCATAGCTCGGTCCTCTGGCGGCCGTTCGGGGCGCTCCTGGGCATCCCTGGAGGAGCGCTCGTGCCGACGCGCGGCGGCTGGGAAGCCTCCCAAGGCGAGCAAACCTCCGAGAGCCCTCGAACAAGTCGAGACGAGGGTCGAGGAGAGAGTTGCGGATTTTTGCCTTAGACATCTGGACATGATTTGGCAACATGCTGCCTCTCCATTCGTCGTCGTCCACGGGGAGAGAGGAGCGTGAAGGCCGAGGGGCATGCCTTTCCCTCGCGGCGGCATTTCTGCTGCCCGCCCCAAAGACCACCGGCGGCCGCGCGGTGCCGGGTCCTCTCCGACATGCGCGTCGCCGCGTACACGATGGTGAACATCGACACGGCGCATCCGCCTCCGCCTTCGCCTACCGACTGCACGCCGGAGCGACCCTGGGCAAGAACGACCTTCGGTGCGCGGCTTCCTGGCGGCCGCGGGGGGGCCAAACACGAGCGCGCAAGGCGCTGCTACCGCATCGCCTTCGGCGATCGGGGGACCCCCATGGGCCCGCACCAAAGGCCACTCCGGCGAGAGGTCACTCTTTACGCTCGGAACGATCGAAATTGGTACGGGAAGAATGGGCACAAAGATCGACAGCAATCCTGGACCATTTTGAACAGGACTCGCTGTTGGTGTCGCCGCGGCGTGTGTCCATTTGAGACAGACAGCCGCCTGCCCAACAGCGGCCGCTGTTGGTTTGGGACAACATTTGTTGTTGGGTATTGTGCCCAATTTGACTGTACCCATTTCGGGCGTCCAAATACGTGTAGTCGAGCCTCGGCCTGCGCTGGACTTGCACAGCCGGCCCGCCTTCTCGGAGATCTTGCTACCCTCGGGCGCGGAGCAGACGTCCTCCTGTCGATGGAAGCCTCCCAGATGGGGTCCAAGTGGTGAGGTCGGCAGATGGCACCGCATCGGTGACGCATGGGCGATGCATGGGCGATGCATCGCCGTTGCATCGGCGACGTCGGCGCTGAATCGACAACGTCGGCGTGGAGAACATCTGGCTCAGCATCGAACCGTATCGGCGATGCATCGGTGATGCGGCGCGATCCTCGGACACCATCTACTCCGACCCCATCAAGGAGGCCTAGACCCTGTCAAAGGCCCCCACACAGAACATTGCCCTCCTGGGGTCCCTTCCTGGGTCGGTGCTGGGCACCAGCGCGCGGACCCCCGCAGACCCCCTCCCAGGAGCGCGGAACGCAGCATGGGTTAGGTCGGGCATGTCCTCCTGCGGGCGGATTTGGGACTCGCGGGCCAGCCTCGTGAGAAAAACGCTAGCAAGGCCCTCCAAGGCCCTTGAATCCTTGCCGCGCATCCTTATGTACACGGTTTGGCTGTATGCGGACGTGCACAGCGCCGACCAACGAGATCCGCTCACAGACCCCCGACTTCATGACTCTTTCACGACGTGGGCCCTCGGAAGGCTCCCCCCCCCCCCCGGACCAACTTTTCCTCCCGGGCCGTGTTTGCCGGCCCAGGGGCCTGGCGAGGGCACCCAAGGTCCGAAAACTATCGAAAAGCTTCCCGCTGTGATGTTTGCACGCGCGATGCGAGGGGGTCTGGGCAAGGTTGTGGGCGCCCCAAGGGGGGGTGCCGCGAAGGGGGCGGTCTTCTGAGAAGGCGGAGGGGCTTCTTAAAGGCCCCAGCCTGCCAAACTTGGGTCGGGCATGTTCTCCAAAGGCGGAGGGGGGTGCTGAAACGGGCGTGACGCCCACACGCGAACGGTGCCCCTGGGGCCTTCGGTGGAGCTCCCTGTGGGGCCGCGAAACGGATGAGAGGTGTGCCGAAACGGGCGTGGCGTGACGCCCACATGCGAACGGTGCTCCAGGGGTCTTCGGTGGAGCTCCCTGTGGGACCACGAAACGTTTGAGGGGTGTACCAACACCGGCGTGACGCCCGAACGGTGCTCCAGGGGTCTTCGGTGGAGCTCCCTGTGGGGCCACGAAACGGATGAGGGGTGTACAGACATCAGCGTGACGCCCACACGCGTACGGTGCCCCTGGGGCCTTCGGTGGAGCTCCCTGTGGGGCTGCGAAACGTGCGAGGAGTGGGCATGAAGCCCACGTGCGAACGGTACTCCTGGGGCCTTCGGTGGAGCTCCCTGTGGGGCCACGAAACGAGTCAGGGGTGTGCCGGAACGGGCGTGACGTCAACACGCGAACGGCGCCCCTGGAGCCTTCGGTGGAGCTTCATGTGGGGCCACAAAACGTTTGAGGGGTGTGCCGAAGCGGGTGCGAAGCCCACATGCGAACGGTGCCCCTGGGGCCTTTGGTGGAGCTCCCTATGGAGCCACGAAACGTTTGAGGGGTGTACGGGAACGGGCGTGACGCCCACACGCGTCTGGTGCCTCTGGGGCCTTCGGTGGAGCTCCCTGTGGGGCCGCGAAACGGATGAGAGGTGTGCCGAAACGGGCGTGACGCGCACATGCGAACAGTGCCCCTGAGAACTTCGGTGGAGCTCCCTGTGGGGCTACGAAACGTTTGAGGGGTCTACCGACACCGGCGTGACGCCAACACGCGAACGGTGCCCCTGGGGTCTTCGGTGGAGCTCCCTGTGGGCTACGAAACGTTTGAGGGGTATACCGACACCGGCGTGACGCCCACGTGCGAACGGTGCTCCAGGAGCCTTCGGTGGAGCTCCCCGTGGGGCCACGACGCGTGTGAGGGGTGTACCGACACGAGCGTGACGCCCTCGTGCAAGAAGGTACCCCTGGGGCCGCGGAGAGGTTCCCAGGGGGGAGCTCAGCAGGGCCGTCCGGAGAGCAGTCCTGTTCCGCCCGTACCATCACCCGCAGGGCAGCCTCCGCGAGCGCGGTGCCGCACAGCACGAGGTACAGCCACGTGGCCGTGAGGCCCACGGTGGCGGGCAGCAGGCCCGAGGCCGCCGTGGCGCGCGGCAGCGCCAGGAAGCCCCCGCCCACGGCCGCGCCTGGGGGGAGGACGCCGCATCTGTGCGCCTGCACCGAGCCAGCCCTGCGCCCAAGATCGGCGTGCTGTGCTCTCAGGCAAGCTCACCTGCATGCCATCCCCCCCCCCTCTCTCTCCGCCTGGCCCAGGATGGGCCTGGGCCGGCATCGGCGCAGGGTGCTCGAAGAGGCTGCTCTAGCAGATGCAGTGGAGGCCCGTCCACAAGAAACCTTCCACAAGAAGCCCAGCCCTGAGACCCCAGGGCGTCCCTTGATTCTTGGTGTGGGAACGTCGCGCATTCCATCGCAAGAGCATCGAAACCCAAGAAACCCAGGGCACCCTGGAGGCGTGCCTGCTCGTTCTCCTCCTCCTCCTCCTCCTCCTCCCTCCTCCCTCCTCTCCTCGTCCTATCCTCCCTTCCCCCTGGGCCCATCCTCCTCCTGGCTCTCCTCCGCCATGCGTACCTGTCCTTCCCTTTTTGGGAAGCGAGGGGTAGTTTGCGGTGCCGCTCAGCAGGCAGTGACGTCTTGCTGGGCCAGGGCTCCTCCTGCGACATGGCAGGGGTTCTTGGCATGGGCCTCCACTGCACCCTGGCCCAGGGTGCCCCCAGCTTCTCTCGTTCAACCTTGGAGCCCCTGAGGCCCTCGGGCCCTCGTGAGGGGCGCTCTGCTCCGCAGGCCGTGGGGGGCCTCCTCGGCAATCCTGGGGGCACCTTGGGCCAGGGACACTCCGATCATGAAGACGTGAGACCCGGCTTCGGTCGGGGATGGACAGAACCCCCTTTAGTAAAACGTGGTTGAGTGAAACCGACCTCGGACCCAACCCTGGCGGGCGCATACCTGGAAAATGACGCCCGCGGCGCCCTCTCGAGAACCGAAAACGGACAATTCACTAATCGACGTGTCAGGGTGGGGGTTCTGTCCACCCCCGATTCGGGGGACTCGGGTTGGCCTGGCGAGGCCGTCCAGAAAATGACGAGACCCGTTCTGAAATTTGACGCGAGCTCCAGCTGCAGATGTCCCAAAGGAGAACTGGACCGCACAAATCCAGGACGGGCTCGCCGAAGAGCGTCGGCAACCTCACGTTCTGGCGAACGCAAGTCTCACATTCCCAGGATTCTAGCAAAACCCGTTGTCGGCGTGCGGAGCGGGGTAAGGGAAGGGGGAAGGCTTCCTAGAAGCACCCCGGCTTCTTAGAAGGCGCGCGCCTTGTATGTCGATGTAGGGCCAGCGCCTTCTAAGAAGCAACCTCCTTCTAAGAACCCTTCCCCCCTAACATCAGGTCGGGCATGTCCTCCTGCAGGCGGACTTAGGAAGAACAATTAGACATGCTCATAACATGTTCAAACTAATCAAACAATAATCAAACATTCGTCCCCATATAATTACACCAGAGAGACACCCCAATCAATGGAAGGAGATCGACCGGGAACCCGGGAACCCTGGAACCAAAAACCCACCGAAATCGGCCCGGAACCAACAACGGGGAACCCGGGAACCCAGCCTAACGCCAAAATCGACGAGAAACTTTCGCCAACTCTTTCCACCTCCGCTGGGACCCCTTCGGTGCAAACACCGACTGGGGACCTTCGTGGTTCTTCTTGCAGGACGCACCCGGCTGACCCCCCCCCCCCCGCCCGCCCCCGTGCGCACGCCGCCGAACCCGAGCTGTGCAGTTGGCGCCCGCCCGAAGCGCCGCCGACGAGGCACGCGGAGCCGAACACCGACGGCTCCGCCTCGTCCTGGCGGCGGGCCGCAAGGGGGGCCTCCCGAGGAGGGGCGGAGGGCGGCCCCGCCGAGGCTGGCAGGGCGCAGCACAGCACGGCGAGGCATCCGAGAACGCGACGACGACCGTGTGATGCTGGGAGAGGGTGATGACACGAGGAGGAGGAGGGGGAGGAGGAGGCGGAGGAGGAGGAGGAGGAGGAGGAGGAGGGGGAGGAGGGGGAGGAGGGGGGGGGAGGAGGAGGAGGAGGACGACGACGACGACGAGCGCGCGATGTCGGTCCAGCGGGACCGGCCCTACGAGGGCAGCGCGGGGGGGCCAGGGCCCTCAGAAGACGTGTTGCGAGCAGAAATCGGAGAGGTGGATGTTGGAGACTCTTTGAGGGAGAAGAAGGAAATCCTCCGTGTAGTCGAGAAAGCCGTCCTCAAGACTTTTCCACAAATTTGCATCCGATGCCATATCCACCCATTGGTTGTCGTATTTATATTCTGTAGCTGTTTTAAGAAATGACAATATGTCGTCGTTCCAAGTCTTCCGTTGACCGCCGTGTCGTCGTTCTGCTCGTCGTGCGTCGTGAGCGCTCGGGTCCCAAGTTATGCAACGTCTCGTCCATCTGTCGTGACTGTGGCTTGCGACTCGAGCTGCGTAGTTCCATTTCGTTTTGAAATAAATGTGTGTCCATTTTTGCACTTGCATGCGCT